CTTTCTCGTGAAGACGTTGAAGACATTCAGCAGCAAACAGTATCGACATCAACAGCAGGTAAGTATCCCATTCCCTCTCAATCATCCACAGATCCTGATCTCCCTCCTTGTCGCATCCAACTCAGCAATGTAGACGGTGTGGCAAATGCCACGTCAGCAATATCAAAGACAGCGTGGCCGCGCGCCACGTCAGCAGAAGCTGGCGCCGAAGCAGGAAGGGGCCAGCATGCAGCAGCAGTCTTGCGTCGTTGTCCACAGTGCCAGCGTACAACCAGCGTCCAGCTAGCGTCAAGCCAGCGTCCAGCCTACGTCAAGCCAGCTTCCAGCCAGCGTCAAGTCAGCGTCAAGTCAGCATAGCAAGACTGAATGTTGACTCCTTGGAGGCAGAGTCTTATGTAGCGTTGGACCGGGTTGACCTGCCCCAGGTCTCCCACCCACGGTGGCTCAGATTGAATCACGGCCTGGATCACGTATAGTTGCAGACTTCCACTTGGTCCGAATATTGTCTTGGTACCTGCATACAAACAAGTGTGTGTGTCTGCGGACTGGGATGGGTCCATACAAACTTTGACTCTTGGGCCTCGGGATGTTGACCGAAGTCAACTGTTGGCCGCTCAGGCCCTTGAGCCACTTCGGAGGGGTCTTTTGCCCCTTCGTACCTTCACGGCCTTAGACCGGGCTCGAGGCCTGGCAAGGCCCTTAGACATTCGACGAGGCATATGGAGCCTGTAACTGCATTCCTGCCTGCCCAAATTTCGAGTTCCATCACAAAAATTCATTAATTTTCTCTTAAGCTGTGCTCATATGCAGAAACAATGTCAGGAGCAGTAGGTAGGAGTTCTTTCTTACTGAACCATCTAGCTTCAGTTGGGGGTTGAGACTTGAACTTTACCTTATACTGCCTCTGTGGTCTTCCTCTGCCGCCTGTAGAGAAGTAGCCATGTTCCAAAATCTTTTAAGCTCGTAACCTCCATTCATGGAGGGTGGGAACATAGATGGTATGTTAGGAAACTCAGTTCCCTCTACATATGGCAACAATTTGGACGCGTGAAAGGCAGGATATGTCTTAAGGTGTGGGGGTATGTCAATTCTGTAGGAGGGTCCACCTGCATCCCCAATCACCTTGAGGACTTCCCAGGGTCCGTAATAGACAGGTAACAGTTTCTGAGACACATTTCCTTCCAAGGAAAACGCTTTAGACTTTACCCAGACTAGGTCCCCTTCTTGGAATTCGAATGGCCGAGGATGCTTGTTGGCCTGTTCAATCATCTGTAGGCTTTTTGTATATTTTCCTTAGATTTCTTTACGTCTTCTTCATATAAAACTGCAAATTCTCGAGTGCCTGGGGGTAACGTTTGGATCTGGTCCCGAGTTAGAGCATCAATGGGACGTCGAGGTTTCCAACCTTTATGCAGTGAATTCAGTGTTCTTCCTGTAACAATATGTATACTATTATTATATGCACTTGCAATTGTAGGTAAGTTCTCATCCCACTGTGCTTTATTGGGTCATACATACATGCGCAGAAGTTGTTCGCACATACGATTTATTTGTTGAATTTGGCCATTCGTTTCAGGGTGTCTACCTGACGACATGGTCATTCTAGTGCCATAGGCTTCCATCAACTTCTGCCATTGTTGTCCAGTGAACCAGACATCCCTATCGGAGACGATGGCCTTTGGGAACCCATATTCTGAGACCCATCGCATCGGAAACTTTTGAATGAACATAGCATATTTGAGCATCGATCTACAATTGCGAGGATCTGGGTCCTCGGCAGGCCTAAGGGGCCCCTGTTGCAGATGTGCCCGCCCTAACTGAAGGCGGGCCTGGCAAATCACGAGAGGCCCTCGGTTGTCAATTTCATATTTGGGGTCCAGGCAGTTGTGACGCGCCTGTTGGTTGGGGAAAGCGCAGGCCGAGCAGCAAAGACATTTTCACGGCCTTCCAGGCCTTTCCTGAAAATGCAGGCCCTGGGCGAGAATCGCAGCCTCATACACAGACAGTTGGGAGGCCCAATTGAAAAGAGGCTCGACAGTTGCATCAGAGGTGCAGCCTCCAGGGGCCTACCGGAAGCTTTTGGGTAGAGACCAAGGCCAGCCAGGCCGCCGATCGAGGCGGGCTCTTTCCATGTAGGGAAGAGATCGCTGCCTGGGCTGGCATTCAGGCACTTGCTGGCTGGCGGCAGCGCTGCTCGCTGCTGGAGCTTTTGCTCGCGTGCTGGCTGCTAGCGCTGGAGCAAGGTGATGCGCACATGAGGTCGTGTGTGGAAGCAGGGCGCTGTTGAGGGCAGTGCCATAGCCCAAGCTCCATAGCTGGTTGAGGGCTTGGTCATATAGTGAGGCGCAGAGGTGGTCTTCGGGTGTACAGGGGGAAGATGTGGGTGTAAGTCAGGGGAGAGAGAGAAGGATGATGATGATGATGATGATGTGAGGGCACATACGTGGTATTGGCGATGGTTTGCATTGAGCGACATCTTCAAGTACTTCGTGGGCTGCCGGCGTCAACAGTTGCATTGTCAATTAGTAGACAGATAGTAGTTGTGTAGGAAGTAGGTTGGGCGTCGAGTGCCGAGTAGGGAGAAGGGCCTGGACACTCATGTTGGTGGTGGTGAGAGCAAGCTCTCATTAGCATTGTTTTTAGTGTTACCATTCTTCATTGGTGTTATATTGGTGCAATTCTGCTTTCTGGACACTGTGATACTATCTGACCTTCAATGTGATTGTGCATTTTGGATATTGTCATCTCACTATTGCTCATTTTCCTTGCACAATGACCATTACCCGACTGTTGCCATTTCAGCTCTTAGTGAGACTCATGAAATCAATGGAGATATACTCATAGGTAGCGGTCTCAATAGTCCCAGGGGATTCTCATGCAAGGGCTTATTCCTCTGGCAAACAAGACAAGTCAGTACATAGGTTAGCACATCCTGTTTCATCCCTTTCTATTCAAAGCGTTCTCTCACATCGACATACGTCTTCTTGAAACCAAAGTGTCCCTCAGTATCATGGCATTCCCCAATAATTAGACTTTTATTTGTTCTTTATGAGGAATGCAAAGTCTTTCTTCGGTCTTATCGATAAAGAAGAGTAAACCATCAGTAATTCGATATCCGGGAAAGAGTTCAGGGTTCCTTTGTTCAGGTTGTCCTGATTCACATGCGATGCTCCGATACCAACTATTACATGCCCAGTTCGGCGATGTACATATATAACCAAGGATCCACAATGTGATAAAAAGGACTGAATGGACAATGCAGTGCTAGTAGAATCTTAACAAGCAGTGTACATCCTGATACATACAAAAATGGTGCTTTGTAGCGCAGTGGAAGACTTACATATAAGCCCTGACCTGACCGGGACAGACCTCTCTCACGTAGTGCAAAACAGCGCAGCAGAATGCTAGAATACCAGTGACTAGCCCAATCAATGTTGCAGTACAGACCAAACATACATCATTCTCATCACAAGGTGTGAAGGGGCTTGGCGCTACACACAGGAAGAACGCACCAGGTCCAGACCATACACAGACGAAGAGGAGGGGATCAGACGAAGGAGTGGGGAAGATGGGAATGTCATCAACACCAAGTCTTCGTTACAAGTCCCAGATAACCCCTCGTCAAATGTCTGAAGTCCAATGTCGAGTCTGGATCCAAATGTCACCAAGCCCGCTCTCTCATAGTCTGCTGATGCAGTGAAGTCAGATAGCGAGAGGGTGAGAGGGAGATGGTGAACTGAGAAGAGGAAGAAGAAGAACTCTCTCTCTCTCATGTGCCAGGTACTAACTGCAGGTACCTCGAAGACGAAGTTGGGGCTATGGCCTCCGCCCAATCTCTCTCTCTCTCTCTCTCCAGTACTACTCTAGCTCCTACTAGCGCCCAGCGCTGAAGACTACTGCTAACGCTACTAGCGCCCAGCGTTGAAGACTACTGCTAGCGCTACTCCTGCAGCGCTCCTCCAGAGTGCTGCTGCCGAATCCTGAAGACTACCTTCTGCCTCCTGTGAACTGCACGTGAAGTGCCTGGGAAGTACCTAGGAACCACCTGCAGCCTGCACGGCGGGCCAATCCTATATAGTGCTGTTCCGTCCAGGAGGCTTCTCTTGCCAATGCCAAAACGTGCCAGACCCTGGCGTTGAAGCTCAACCAAGGGTTGTCTTGAAAACAGGCCCAAAATGGCCTGTGCTAAAACCCTGGTTTGGTGCCTGAGTTTCAGGGCAGGTCGATCTGATGAGGGCCAGAAAATTGCCCTCCGTTTCAGGCTGAAAAGACTCAGGGCCGGAAAGGCCCTGTTTTAGGCTGAAACGACACAAGGCCTGTAGACCCTTGTTTTCAGGCTTTCAGGGCTTTCAGGCTGAAACGACACAGGGCCTGTAGGCCCTTGTTTTCAGGCTTTCGGGCTGAAAACGACACGGGCCTGAAAATGGCCCGTGCAGCCTGTTGCAGGCGCAACATGTAACAGTCACTAACGATCAGTCTCCATCGAGAAGGTTTATGATACCACTGGATATGGATGGCAAGTACGATGTAGACCACATAGTTGGAGAAGATGCGTACAGAACAGGACGCAGAGGAAGGCCCCAGCGACGGTACAAAGTCAGATTTGCAACCAAGAGCCTGAAGAAGATCGTTGTGTTATGAACTTGGTTGCCTGACGAATTTTATCGCCACTCACACATAGACAATCTCACACATGCCCATACATGCATAAGAGAAGGGGAGAGAGGAGACAAAGTCCAAACTGCANCTGACGAATTTTATCGCCACTCACACATAGACAATCTCACACATGCCCATACATGCATAAGAGAAGGGGAGAGAGGAGACAAAGTCCAAACTGCACACGGGTGAAAATAAGCAGCGGAAGACAATCATGCACAGATGGGGAGAAGACACTCAGTGTTTCTCACTCTCTGACACAACTCCCAGCAACCAATCACAAGAAAGAACCTGCGAAGATCACAATTGGAAATCACACTTATGATGAACCACTCAACCAGTTATCGTAACAGAGTTTGTTCCAGTATCTCGCCACTCTCAGAACTCACACCCCACTCTCTATCCTACACCCAGTTAGTAGCGCCACATCAGATTGGCCTCCCAGAGGCCAGCGCCAACCACCCTGATGAAGAACAGGTCCTGCGATGAAGTCTTCAGTGCCGATGGACAACTCTGACGAAGGAACAGGCAGCTATGGCTGCCACCACCCACGAACACACACAGTAGAGCCTCGATACAGCCCGRCCATACGCAGATACCCCCAGGGGTAGGTGCGCTKAGGATGCCCCAGCTATGGCAGACTMAGAGAGGGCCGGCTATGGCTGCTGTCACGGTGTGTCTTAGGATGCCGCCTGCAGACCGTCACCGCCACCAACTTGCTTGGCTTCTCCACGCTGCTTCGCGAGAAATGAACTGCCAAAAGTCCTGAAC